ATATGATATTCTGGAAAAGACTATGTCTATATATCTATTCATATGGAGGCATTAGGGTGAGAAGAAGTGAAGGCAGAAATCCAGTCATGAAGGGTATAGTGGGCCAATTAAGACTGAATCTTTCATAAAGCAATGGGTGTTATTGAATGGATTTCAGAGAATGGTGATACTACTAATAATGCCAATTTGAAAGGTCACTATGACTGCATTATGAATCACAGTTTTGAGAGGGCTGATACATAAGTGAATATGTAAAAAAGAAACCCAGTAAGAATGGTATTAACAGTGTAAAGTTGGACAATAATATCAGCTTGGAATCCAACAAGTATACAAAATCAAGACAGTTTTAGAATTGGGAAAATTTGAGACTAAAATGATGGTGTTAGGAAAGCTAGATATCTACATGGAAAAAAGTGATATTGGACCCTTATACCATTTACATAAATTAACTCAAAATGAATTAGAGACTTAAATGTAAGATCTGAGACGATGAAAATTCTAAAAGAAAACCTAGGGAAATCTCCTTGACATTGGTCTTGGCAATAATTTTTTTGATAAGACACCAAAAGCACAGATGACAAAAGCAAAAATAAATAAGTGGAGTCACATCAAACTAAAAAGTTTCTGCATAGCAAAGGAAACTAACAAATGAAAAGTCAATATATAGAATGGGAGAAAATATTTGCAAGCCATTTATCCGATAAAAGGTAAATATGCAAAATATGTAAGGAATTGCTACAATTCAGAAGAAAAAAAACCACATAACCTTATTTTTAAAAATGGGCAAATGACCTGAACAGGCATTTTTCTAAAGAAGACATACACAGGGCCAACAGCTATATAAAACATGCTGAACATTACTAATTACTAGAGAAATACAAATCAAAACTATAATGAGCTATCACCTCACAGCTGTTAGAACAGCTATTATCAAAAAGGCCAAAGATAGCAAGTGTTGACCAGGGTATAGAGAAAAGCAAACCCTTGTACACTGTTGGTAGGAACATAAATTGGTACAGCCATAGGGAAAACAGTATGGGGCTTTCTCAAAAGTTAAAAATAGGTCCAGCAATCCCGCTTCTGGTATATATCCAAAGGAACTGAAATCAGTGTGCTCAAGAGATACCTGCACTGCCATGTTCATTGCAGCAATATTTACAATGGCCAAGATATGAAAACATCCTAACTACCCGTGGACAGATAAATAGATAAAGAAAATGTGGAATACATATATAGTGGAATCTATTTTTTAGTGATAAAAAGGAAGGAAATCCTTCCATTTGTGACAACACGAATGGAACTGGAAGTCATTATGCTAAGTGAAATAAGCTAGGCGCAGAAAAACAAATACTGTATGAGCTCAGTGAACCCCAGAAAAGTTGAACTAATAAATGCAGAGAGTAGAATGATGATTATCAGAGACTAGGGAGCAGGGGACAGGAGGGAAGTTAGGCCAAAGGGTACAAAACTTCAGTTACAAGATAAACAGCAGCTTTTGAGCAGCGAGATCCAGGGACAGAGTCTCAGCTTCCCGCTGCGCTGCTGCTGCCTAGAGACAGCTGAACCCCTGTCCGCCCTACTTCCACCTACTCCGGACACAGAGCATCCAGTCATGGAAGACAGTTGAGGCAGAGCCAGTGCCTTGGGCAGCCCTCAGAAAAATCAGAACATATGGTTCTCTTTTTCTTTCCCTTCTCAGGGAGCTGGGTTTTTTTTGGAAAGGGGGCAGTTGTGGTTCAGTGTTGTTCTGTTTGTTTTGCTTACTTGCTTTGCCCTGAGATGGAAGGGGGGAATGTGGCATGTACTAGCTTGCTATTCAAACTGCAGCCTTTGTTCTTAATGATGCCCATGTGTCTAGGGTATGCCAGGTCCTGTCTGCCCTTGCCTGAGATAGGCAAGACAGAAGCAAATGCCACAGCAGTCCCCAGAAAAATTAGAATGCTGGACTTATGGCCCAGTGTTTTCATTCCTTCACCAAGGAGAAGCTTGAGGAATCGCCACACCGTTTTCCACAATGGTTGAACTAATTTACACTCCCACCAACAGTCTAAAGGTGTTCCTCTTTCTCTGCATCCTTGCCAGCATCTGTTCAGTTTCCAGACTTTTTAATCATCACCATTCTAACGCGTGCAAGATGGTATCTCATTGTGGTTTTGATTTGCATTTCTCTAATGACCAGTGATGATGAGCTTTTTTACATATGTTTGTTGGTCACATAAATGTCTTATTTTGAGAAGTGTCCGTTCATATCCTTTGCCCACTTTTTGATGGGGTTGTTTATTTTTTTCTTGTAAATTTGTTTAAGTTCCTTGTAGATTCTGGATAGTAGACCTTTGTCAGATGGATAGATTGCAAAAATTTTCTCCCATTCTGTATGTTGCCAGTTCACTCACATGATAGTTTCTTTTGCTGAACAGAAGCTCTTTAGTTTAATTAGATCCCATTTGTCAATTTTGCCTTTTGTTGCATTTGCTTTTGGTGTCTAGTCATGAAGTCTTTGCCCATGCCTATGTCCTGAATGGTATTGCCTAGGTTTTCTTCTAGGGTTTCTATGGTTTTAGGTATTACTTTTAAGGCTTTAATCTGAGATAGTATAAATTTCAACTTGTAACATGCAAATTCATACATATTTATTTTATTTCAATGCTCAATGTAGAGCATTCACTTTGAGAAAACAATTGCTGATGTGGGATACGAAAGCAAATTTTTTGTAAGTTTCAAGAAATAAATCTAGTATGTAACTGAAAGAGGAAACCTTGCTTGTCAAAGAGGAAGCCAGAGATGTGGGGTGGGTGAAATGCGTGTGCAAAGACCGTGCTAGAGGAGGAAAGATACATGGTAGGGAAGGGGTGTTAACTCTGTTATCTCTTCCTTTCAGGTAGCAGCATGGTTAAAACTCATCTTGATAATTTTGCCTCAGCAAAAAAAACAGTCATTTTGTCATATGTTTCAATGTTATTATTGTGAAAGATGACAAAACATGACTGTAGGGAACCAAAGTGTAGGCATAGAAGATAATAAGTAACTTACGAAGGGGCAAGGAGGTGGTTGTGAAAATTGGAATAGGAAACAATTTGGAGTCCATAAGGTATGATAGGTTCTGATTTGCATTTTGCAAGGTTCTGTTGACAATTCTCACAAAATAGCATCGTGTGCAAACACCAAAGACCATCTTCAGTTTGTTTCCAGTCTAAATCTCAACTTCAATTCCTGATTATTTGCTGCACAAATAATGAACTACTATAAACTACTAGGAAACGCCACACAGAACCATGACTTCAGGACTTTGCCCAGCAGGTGTGGGGTAATTTCACTAAGAAAGAGGCAATAAGGCTGGGTGTGGTGGCTCACGCCTGTAATCCCAGCACTTTGGGAGGCCGAGGCCGGTGGACCACCTGAGGTTGGCAGTTCCATCCAGCCTGACCAACATGGAGAAACCCTGTCTCTACTAAAAACAGAATATTATCCGGGCGTGGTGGCGCATGCCTGTAATTCCAGCTACTCCGGAGGCTGAGGCAGGCGAATCACTTGAATTCAGAAGGTGGAGGTTGCGGTGAGCCGAGATCGCGCCACTACACTCCAGCTTGGGCAATAAGAGCGAAACTCCATTAAAAAAAAAAAAGAAAAGAAAGAAAAAGAAAAAGAAAGAAAGATAAAATAAAAATTCGTGGCCGGGTGCAGTGGCTCACTCCCGCTTTGGGAGGCCGAGGTGAATGAGTCACCTGAGGCTAGGAGTTCCAGACCAGCCTGGCCAACATGGTGAAAACCCGTCTCTACTAAAAATTCAAAAAATTTAGCCGCGTGTAGCTGCACACTCCTGTAGTCCCAGCTACTCGGGAGGCTGAAGCAGGAGAATTGCTTGAATCTGGGAGGCGGAGGCTGCAGTGAGCTGAGATCGTGCCATTGCACTCCAGCCTGGGTGACAGTGAGACTCTGTCTCAAAAAAAAGAAAAACAAGCAAATAGAAAAATGTTGACGCTATCATTTCAATTTTAAGTCTGGACTCAAATGTTACCTTCTCTGGGAATTCCTTCCCTGAACTCTACATATCCCCTATCAGGTAGAATTATTATACCCTTCTATGTGTTCCAACATCCTCTAGCCTCCAACATATTGGGTAATAATATATCATTTATCTTTGTTCTGTTCTGCTTGATTGTGGACTAGAAGGACCTGGGATTTTGGCATTCATCTGTGCATGCACAGTGATAAGGGCAGTGCCTGGCATGGAACATTAAGTTCTTTTTGGATGAACGTGTAAGTGAGTAATGTCTATTCCTTAATTCCAATAGCACCTTGGTTATGTCCACCAATTCCTGAAGACACCATGGGAAGATGACACCTGAGTTAATAAACTTGGCTACAAAAGCTATACAAATATGTCTTTTAGTATCCTCTGTTTATGTAAATATCTTAGCTTTCAACAAAAAAATTTTCTTTTTCACATTCCCCCCAAAAAAACCACACATGATTAGAGGTGTGATTTTTAGTATCTTAAATATTATTGAAGAGCCATTCAAGGTTATGTTTATAAATAAACTGAAATAAAATAGATTAAAACCTTCTCTGAATCTTATCTGTACTGATTGTGCTACGGTCTAGCTAGTTATGGTATTACAATGATCACATGGTTTAGCCCTGATTCTAACTTAGGCATACTATTCAGTCCAATGCTGTTTAGATTTGCTCGTGGGATTTGTTATAAAGTTCATGCCTCTCAGTGTTTTCACTGTCCCATTCTTGCCACTGTAAAGATCTAAGCACCATCAGTCTAATAATTTAGCAGACAAGGGAGTCTTCTTAGCTTTTACACACTATCAGGTATGGTTCACAGCAGTTACAATGCAGCGGGTTGTATTTCCAAGACCATCTACTGCAGAGAATCATTTAAACAGTTTCCAAAAGACAGAAAGAGAGAGAGAGATGATAGATATTAACATCATAGACGGATCTGGAGATTCAGAGACTAACACACACACACTCACATACAAAAACAGCACTTCAGTTTTGGGTCTATGTGTGAAACCAAGTATGCCTTAAACAAGGAAGACAAGCTTTTCAGAAGTGCAGTTGGATAACTTCTGCCATAGAAATGGCTGAATGAGGACACAAGGGGGGAAAATTCCAGAAGAAGGGCACATCTCTTTCTTTTCTGCAGTTCGTTCTCACCTTCTCAGCTCCTAGTAAAACGTCTCGTTTTCAGGTTCTGTAAATCCTGCTAGTCTCAGGCAAAATTATGCTCAGGAGTCTCAAATTTTCTTATTTCATTTGAGTCTTTATTTAGTAGACTTCTCAATTTTTCTATTCATTACAAGTAAAAGCCTGTTGATCTTAATCAGCCAGGAAACTTATCTGTCTGGCAAATGACATATGTACAAAGATAATCATCAATGTCATGAGGTAACCCATTTCAACTGCCTATTCAGAGCATGCAGCAAGAGGAAATCCACCAAGTCGCAATATAACAATATTCTTTACTCCTGGATAGCTCAGTTAATGAAAAAATGGACACGGAACATGGTAGGAGAGCAAATCTTTCTCTCCCCCAAGAGCCGTCCAGGTAGGTACAGGGTATTATTTTTTCTACTCTCAGTCACTTAGCAGCAGGGGAAGTCATAGTCACAGTGCTTAGGAGATGAAACTTTATTGATTTAGGCATGGATTCATCTAGTTTAATTAATATATTGGGTATGAGGAAGCTACTTGCCGTACTTTCCAAGAGATTCTCTCTCCCTGAAGAGGAACATTTTTACTCAGCTTGTAAAGGGGAAGTAACAGATTTTTCTCACATTAGAAGCTCATTTTCTGAGTATGAGACAGGAGAGTTCATACTAGGTATGTAGATCTCTTGCTTCTGTGTCTGATATGTGCTGCGGGACACATATCCTTCACACATGCTTTTGTAAATACTTTATAAAATAACCTGCTTCTTGGTTGGTCTTTATAATCCATAAGCTGTGGGATGCTTCTTTGAAGATGAAAATAGTAAGAGCCCCATCGAGCCATTCAAAGTCATCCCTTCATTGCATTCTGTGTACATGAAGTTGGGGTTTGTTACTGACATAATATATTCAGATACATTTCTATGTTAAAAGGATTGTGAGACGCATAGGTAACTGTGTTTATTTTCAGTTTTACTTATCAACATAGATGAATGAGAAAGAACTTGAAAGTAACACTGGATTAAGAATAGGAAAATTTGGCATGGATTTTGTTCCATTTTGTCCCATCTAATCACTTGGATAGTGTTCAGGTGTTCTTGGTCAGTTACTTGGATGCTCTGAGTTTTAGTTTCTTAGTAATTACAACGAAGATTTGAGTTACAGGATGGCTTTGAAAAAATAAACAAAACTCCCCTTTCTGTCAGTCAAGGATGTTGCACAGGGAGTTAGAGAATGTTCTTATGACTGAATTGCTTTTAAATTTCACAGTGTGCCTGCATTGGAAGTCTTGGCAGTACCTCCCCAGGAAGAATCTTCAGGCAGACTATCGAAGTCGGCCTCATCCCCACCACAGCATACATGGCTGACAGTTTTGAAAAAAGAGCAGGAGTTCCTGGGGGTGAGTGAGCCTCCTCCAACTTTGACTCTAGTAAGGGTTGGGTCTAGAAAAGAATACTGAGTTGCATCAACTGTTTTCCCACTTGGATTCATGAGAGGTGGCAGGTCCTCTAAAAAACATGGTAGATAAAGAGTTGATACTAACTGGGCCCTTTTGGGAACAGAGAAGCATTTCCTCAAAAAGACATTAAATTGCTAGGATGAGAATGGCCAATAGGAGTGAAGGATTCATCATCTTTATCATTACTTAGATGTAAAGAACAATTACTGATGTTCAACATGACTACGTACATAAAAGCGCATGGAGAAAGTATTGGCCATCCATGCATTAGGTAGTGCTTGTATCAATTCCTATAGTGGCCAGGGTATCCTGGAAAATCTTACGTGTGGATCACCTTCTCAGGACAGTCTAGGACACTAAAGCAGTTTCTCATGGTCAGCCTCTATTATTAAAAAATGATACAATCTTGGGAAAATATTTTGATTTTCATGAAGGTCATGTGTTTTTCTATAGGTAACACAAATTCTGATCGGTATGATATGCCTGTGTTTTGGAACAGTTGTCTGCTCTGTACTTGATATTTCACACATTGAGGGAGACATTTTTTCATCATTTAAAGCAGGTTATCCATTCTGGGGAGCCATATTTGTGAGTATATATCTATAATAGTTTCTGAAATAACACTGAACATAGGTCTCTCTCTTGCTAAGAACTAACCAGTTATTTCCAGTATTAAGATGATATTTATAATTCCTAACATAGATATGCTCATTAACAACAACAAAACATTCTTTTTATAATTAACGGTGGGTTAAACATTTAGCCCACAGTTTTATCCGATGAGAAACCTGAATCTAATTCAAGTTAAATGACTTGCCTAAGGGACACTTGGCTGATAGTAACTGAACCTAAACTTTCAGAATCCAACTCCAAGAACATACCTCTAGCACTATTCATCAATAAAGTTATATGATAACTACATACAGCTTTATCTGTCAACTAAAAATAATAACAGAGGCTGAGCACGGTGGCTCATGCCTGTAATCCCAGCACTTTGGGAGGCTGAGGTGGGTGGATCACCTGAGGTTAGGAGTTCGAGACCAGCCTGGCCAACATGGTGAAACCTTGTCTCTACTAAATATAAAAAATTAGCTGAGTATGTTAGCGCATGACTGTAATCCCAGCTACTTGAGAGGCTGAGGCAGGAGACTTGTTTGAACCTGGGAGGCAGAGGTTGCAGTGAGCTGAGATTGAGCCGTTGCACTCCAGCCTGGGCAATAAGAGCAAAACTCTGTCTCAAAATAATAATAATAGAAAATAAAGTTATCTTCATGAAAAATGAGGAAAGAGATTGCTGGGCTGAGAAAAATTAAGATCAATGGGCATATGGTGACCTTCTATGCCCTAGAAACTTTTAGGTATTTTCTCGTGGCATCTCTTTTACTCATTGTTCTATGTGGAAAAACAGGTGGATGGGTGAGATAATAAGGTATATAACTTTTTAAAGGTCTAATTGACATATAATAAATTGCAAGTATTTCAGGTGTACAATTTGCTAACCTTCGACACACATAGACACACATGAGAACATCACCACATTAATACAATGTATGTATCCATCATTTCCAAAAGCTTCCCTGTGTATCTTGTAATTATTTCTTCCTCCCTCCACTCCTCCTCCTCTCATCCCCAAGAAACCATTGATCTGCTTTCTGTGAATATAAATTAACTTACATTTTTTATATAAGTACGTTCTCTTTACTGTTTGTCTTCCTTTGCTGCACAGTTATTTTGAGATTATTCATGTTTTTTCACTATATCGATACTTCATTCATGAGAATATATTTTAATTCTAAACTATATCACATTCACTTTGCGTTCTGCTAAATCCTTAGTGCTCAGATGACTTGCTCAGGACTCTCCTTGAACCTCTACCTCTGTTATAACTGAAACTTGTATCTACTGTCTTTTTATTTCAAACACAGCTTATTAAGTGTCTCTCAACCCATCAAACTCACAATCTGAGTCTTTAGGAGATTGCTTTGAATTTGTGCTATTGACTTATATTTATATCAAATATGTAAATGTTTGGTAAAAATATCATCATGTACATTTTCATAATTACTCTATATTCACATGATATATGTCAAACTCTGGAAATATGCATGCCACAAACACATGTTTCTTGCCTAGAGGAGCTGATGGAAGATGTTCATACAAATAGACAATTGCAATAGAACGAGAGTGGTGGTCTAACAGATTCATGCCCCTGATGTTGCTGGACGTTGCTACTCCAAGAGTAACCCCTGCATTGTCAGGGTTAGCATCTCCTGGGAGTCTCATGTAAATGAAGAATTTCATGCTCCATCCAGGACCTAATGAATAAGAATCTGCATTTTAGCAAGACCCTCACATGATTCATATACACTTTTTTTTTCTTTTAGACGGAGTCTCACTCTTTTCGCCCAGGCTGGAGTGCAGTGGCATGATCTTGGCTCACTGCAACCTCCACCTCCCAGGTCCAAGCATTCTCCTGTCTCAGCCTTCCTAATAGCTGGGACTACAGGCACACGCCACCATGCCTGGCTAATTTTTGTATTTTTAGTAGAGACGGGGTTTTGCCATATTCGTCAGGCTGGTCTCGAAATCCTGATCTCAGGTGATCCCCCCGCCTCGGCCTCCCAAAGTGCAGGGATTACAGACATGAGCCACCACACCCAGCCTTATTCGTATACACATTTACTTTTGAGGAGCACTCTATAGAAAATAAGAATAAGGAAATACTGGGCTCACAGGTGACATTACTAAGTAACTTTATCAAGTACCCCAAATTGTACCTATGTTTGGAAGATGGGGTTAAAAAGGACACATTGAAAATGAGAAACTCATTGTGGCTCTTTTTTTCCTCCTTTTTGAACAGTTTTCTATTTCTGGAATGTTGTCAATTTTATCTGAAAGGAGAAATGCCACATATCTGGTGAGTTGCCTGTTTCTGTCTTTGTTCCTCTTTGAAAAGGTACGAAGAATGGAGTTTGAGGAGTCTTAAGGGAAACATGTCTTTGTCTCCTAAATTACCAGTGAATGTGGATATATGACTTTGTTTCAATCTATTTTGTGTCCTGGGGCTTTTTGCAACAGAAGTTGGATGTAATCAGTAGAAACATAAATTGCACCATTTAACATACAATGAAATTTATGTTTACCTTGATGCTCGTGCTAAAAAAAAGTGTCGCCACAATGGCATTGTCCTTGTAGTTATATTCACATGATCAAATAAATAATTAGTTTTCAATTAAGAAGAAGATTTGAGGAAAGACCGTAGGTGTCCATGTGGTTCCTGAATGCAGTCCAGCGAGAAAGAAATATATGCTCATTAAACAATGCGGCCATTTTCAGGGCTTCCCTTTTTAACCAAAATTTGGAAGCAATGTGGAATTTACTGAATGCATCCAGCCCTGAGATGAAGATAGGTTTATTGAATGTGCCAGCAAGTGCAGGCCCAGGTCTGAGTGTTCCTTATTATCATCAGGCGAGAGGAAGCCTGGGAGCAAACACTGCCAGCAGCATAGCTGGGGCAACAGGAATTACCATCCTGATCGTCAACCTGAAGAAGAGCTCGGCTTATATCCACATCCACAGTTGCCAGAAATATTTTGGGACCGAAAAGTGCTTTATGGCTTCCTTTTCCGCTGTATGTATTATTTTGTGTGGGAAGACTAAGATTCTGGGTCCTAATGTAAGTAAGAAGCCCTCTTTTCCTGTTCCATAAACACCATCCTTCTCTGTAACCTCCATTACATCGTATAGTGTTCTGTAAGTTCACACAGTCCAGGGAGATGCTGGCTGCCCGCTCCCCTCAACCCAGGCAAATTCCTTGGGGTTAAAGTTACCTACTACGAGTAACCATGGGTTTTCCTGTGTGTGTGTGTGTGTGTGTGTGTGTGTGTGTGTGTGTGTGTGTGACTTTAGAAGGACTGATCAGATGATGGGGAGATGAAAGCAGGAGATGCTATAAGAAAATAAACTTTTGGGGCACCTACCACGTGACTCTTTTTGTTTATCGTTTGTTGCTGTTCAATAGGAAATGGTAGTGATGATGCTGTTTCTCACCATTCTGGGACTTGGTAGTGCTCTGTCACTCACCATCTATGGAGCTGGGGAAGAACTCAAAGGAAATAAGGTAGGTAGAAGCCTGATATAAAATCC